TTAGCAAAATATATATATATGTAATTGAACAAAGCTAGCTAGGTGAAGAAGAAGAATCGTTTTTATAAAAAAAAAAAGAACAAAAACAAAATCTGAAAAATCAGGAAAAGGAAAGGGCAAGAAATCTGACATATCTGTGCTGGCGGCAGCACAATTGGCATTTCTTCCCCAAAGCAGAGCGGAGCAGTTAGCATCTTGCCGTTTCCCTCTCTCTCTTCTGTATTTTCTTTACAATTTTTTTTTTCTTTTTGCATTTGATCTGCCACGTGTCAGCAACCCATTTCCGGGAAAGACTCCTTCCTTCCTTCTTCTTCTTCTTCTTCTTCTCCCCTCCCCTGCTTCTCTCAACGCAAAATCAACAATACAAAGACCCACTCACCGCCAAAAGAAAACCAACAATCTCAAACAAAAACAAAACCTCCTGCTGCCTTCTCTGCAACACCAGATTTCCCCCCTCCTTTTTGTTATTATTAATACAGAAGAAAAATGTTCAGAGTCCTGAACAGGAGCCTCCGCCTCCTCTGTTCCCGTCTCCGCTGCCGCCGCCGCCGCCACCACCCCTCCCCCACCACTTCCACCTCCAAGATTCAGATCAAGAAGTTCGGGAAATCCAATTCCAAGTCCAAGAACGAGCCCAGACCCGAATCCGCCGCCGCGGTTCATCCAAACAACCACCTGGGCAGCGGCAGCAGTGTACCGGAAACAGAGGGGAAACCCAAGATCAAAGTCGCCACCTTTAACGCCGCTCTCTTCTCCATGGCTCCGGCGGTCCCGGAACCGGAAAATTCTCCCGGATTCGAATTCGGATCCGGGTTCGGGCGGAGCAAGAGCTCGGTAGACGGGTTTGGGAAAACCGCGTCGGTGAACGACGACCGGCCGATCATGATCAAGAGCATACTAAAGCAATCGCCTCTCCATACAAACTCCACCTCCTCCTCCTCCAGGCAGCAGAAATTCGCTAGGTCGAAATTGAGGGTCTCAATCAATCTCCCCGACAACGAGATTAGTAAACAGCTGAGCTTCAGAGAAGGCGAGGATCACGGCGGCGCCGCAGCAGCAAGAGCTGGGAAGGCTCCGGCGGCGGCGAGCCGGTCGCAGAGTTTGGTAATGTCGGAATCGGAGAGGCGGCGGCGCCACGACGGGAGCGCGAGGAGGTCGGTGGTGGAGGTGCTGAGGGAATTGGATGCTGACATTTTGGCGCTGCAGGAGGTGAAAGCAGAGGAGGAGAAAGGGATGAAGCCGCTCTCCGATTTGGCGGCGGCGTTGGGGATGAATTACGTGTTTGCGGACAGCTGGGCGCCGGAGTACGGCAACGCTATCCTCTCCAAGTGGCCGATCAAGCGCTGGAAAGTCCACAAGATTTTCGACGACTCTGATTTCAGGTTTCCCCTGCTTTTTTTCTGTTCTGTTTCCACTTTTCTGTTGATCTTTCTGGAAAAAGCTGGAATCATTGGGATAATCATATGATTAACAATGTTAATTATTATCTGCAAACTTTGCTAACTGGAGTAAAATGTAGTCCGCAGCCCCAAAACGGAGGCTTTTTAAATTAGTTAGTTAATCACACAGGTTTCGAAAAGGTTGGGCGTGAAAGTCAATCTTCAAACCTTGGGATTTGTTGCATTCAACTTTTTATGAGGATAATGATTTCGTTTTTCGTGTATAGTTAGTGTATGGTTAAGTTAAGCTATAGCTTGACTGAGATTTCACTGAAATCATTGACAAAATACTCACTTTTCCACAAATTTCATAAACAAAAACAAAAAAACAGTTGAGGAACTTTAGAATGCCTCGAATCTTTTAAGATTATGCTTTTTATCGCGAAATGCATTTTATAAATTAAAGTTGTTTTATTACTTATAAATAATTGATATTTCTCGTCCTTTGTTGATGTAGAATTTATCGTTATGATATTTTCTATAAAATGTCATAGTAATTATAATAAAAACACAAAAGAAAATAACTCAACAATGCTAACACGACAACACGTATTAAATTGTTGGAATGACTTTGCTATTAATGAATTGAAAAAGAAAACACCTTAAGCAAATCATTTTCTGATTTGTAATCAATATATTAAACAAATCAAATCAAAGACACGCTGTAAAGTAGTTGCGAGATTCATTATTGAGGTAAAAAGAGGGAATGCTTTTTTCTCACTGGAGGACAGAGTTGGCTGTCACCCACGGATGTTTATTTATTTATTTATTTTCTTTCACCAATTCAACTTTTTTTTTTATATATATTACATTTGGATTTAATCAAATACCCAATCATGATGCTGCCATGAAAGCAACTTGGGCAAAAAGGATCATTATTCTGATCTGCAAATTGGTACGGCGGGTGTTCTATAAAATCTCAGTACCAAAAAAGGTGACAGAACGAATCCTAACGCACGTCGTCGTTTTATCTGTTGGCTGGAAGTGCAGAAATGTCCTCAAGGCAACCATCAACGTGCCAAACGTAGGAGAGGTCAACTTCCACTGCACCCACCTCGACCATCTCGACGAGCAATGGAGGATGAAGCAAGTGAACGCCATCATCGACTCCAGCGAAGGCCCTCACCTCCTCGCCGGAGGGCTCAATTCGTTAGACGAAACAGACTACAACGAGGATCGATGGATCGACATTGTCAAGGTAATCAGCATCATCATCATCTTAATCATCTTACCTATTGCTGTATCAACGAACAAGTTGTTTGATTGGAGCAAACTATGTACAAAAATTGTGTGTCACATAAACCAGCACGACGGCCACTTGGCCAACACAAGCTCTGATACCATGTCAAGAACCAGTTGATCCCAATAACTTGAGTTGCAACCACTGATATCGTGTTTATGCAGTACTACGAGGAAATGGGGAAGCCGACGCCGAAAGCTGAGGTGATGAGGTTTCTGAAGAAGGAAAACTACACCGATGCCAAGGATTATGCAGGGGAGTGCGAGTCTGTGGTCATGATAGCCAAAGGCCAGAGTGAGTTTATATAAATAAGATCGAATTCTGCCATTCCTTGATTTTTTGCAGGCAGTATATAATGAAGCAAAGATTGTTAATCGATGTGGCTGCTACTTGTTAATGTGTAAAAATGGAACTGTGCAGATGTTCAGGGGACTTGCAAGTATGGAACTCGAGTGGACTACATCGTGGCGTCCCCGAATTCGCCGTACAAGTTTGTCCCGGGATCGTACTCGGTTCTGTCTTCTAAAGGGACGTCCGATCACCACATTGTGAAAGTCGATGTTGTCAAAGAACACGACGGCGGCGGCGGCGGCGGCGGCGACAACAAGAGCGGTGGTAGTCGTGGTTACAGTGGTCAGCAGAGTGTGGGTAGAAAGAACAGGGGAAACAGAGCACAACAAACAAGTTTAGTAAAATGAGACGTATATGTATTTGTTTAACTTAGATGAAATTATGGAGAATGAAGGGTTCTTGCTTTTCTTTTTATGCTTGGGGGGATGGATGGTTAGTGTTGGTTGGGATGCAATAGATTTTAGGGGGTTTGGGTGTTGCTGGTTTGAGGGCTAGAAGAGTGGGAAAGAGAATTTTTGGAGCTCTGCTAGTTAGCTTACCATCTCCTATTTATATATGTATGGCAATGGGCAGGTCCGGACCGGGTATCTCGATACTCATATTCGTTCCGTAATAGGTCGGATCCAGGTCGGGTAATTTATCATGGGACGCGGGTCGGGGCGGGTCGGCCTAATGGGAATGTAATTTATGTGGAAAAACTTTAAAAATATTCATTATTTTCATTAAAAGACCAAGAGATAAACCATAATATGATAAAATGTAGTTAAATTATTGGAGAAATTGGTGTTTTCACTTGTTTACAACTTTATTATAGCTAAAATATGAGATAATATGAGAAAAATTCTAAGTAATTTGACTAAACTTACGTGTAATTTAGGAAAGAACGGGTCGAGAATGGGGCGGGTCAGGGTAAGTCGGATCGACGAGAGGTACTCATGCTGCTCGCTCCAAAACAAGCCAAACAGATCGAGTAAAACGAGTCAGGTCGAAATTGTCATCATAATGGCTCGCTTATGTATGTGTCAAAATCCATCCTCTTGCTTAGATTTCAATGTTGAATGAAAATGATACTGGCTCGTTACCTGTTGCTTGTACCATATTTATTTTGTGTGACGCCGTGACGGAAAACGATATCTGGTTCAACATTGAGTGGATGCCAAAAGCTAACAGTGGCAAAAGAAGAACGTCGACAGCAGGGTTCGAACCTGCGCGGGCGTAGCCCAACAGATTTCAAGTCTGTCTCCTTAACCACTCGGACATATCGACATGTGTTTGTCCTTTATTCCCAGGTCGTTTATTTATACTATTTAGGACAACTCCAAAACTTGTTCCTGACTTAACTAGCTAAGCAATTAAGTACAGTGTCCTATACTATTCAAAGAGGTAGCTAATGCAAGTTCTATTATTTCAATGGGTTGGCCTTATCTAGAAGTCCTACTCCTATACGACCCTGTCTCTCCAATGTAATCAAAATCCCGATTTATCTTAATATCTTACGAAGATATTGATGATCCTAACTAAGTAATAAGTAGAACTCCTAGTCCTCCGGTAGGCCATCCAGTGGTGTCTAATTGTGGTCTCTCTCTCATTTATGTTTTTAGGGAGATGCGAAAGTGGTCATTGATAAGATAAACCTGGCAGATAGGTGCGAGACAATTCATTTGGGGCTATTTTAGAGGAAATTTTGTGGTGGCTGGCACTGCAAAATGATTTTCACGTACGATTTTTAAGTCAGATTAACAATAGAGTAGCTCATTTGGTGGATAGAAATGCCCTTTCTTTGTATCCGACATCATGTCATTCCTTTGATTTTCTTTTTTGTCCTAACTTCATACAGCCAAAGTGTAATTTGTTCGGTCTATTCGATTAACTTTTGTTTAAAAAAAAAAAGACCGCCAAGCTATGAAATTTGTTTTAGTGGTAAATATGAACAATTTGATATATAAACTGAGTGAGATGAAGTTCAAACCATAGCATTAATCGATGTTGAGGACAGGGAGATGAAACTTTGAAACAGAAAACAAGAGAAAAAGAACCTATCAGTTGTATCGTCAGAGTCTAATCGTTTTTCAGCTTCCAGGAGAGGAGAAACGAAATAGACAAACAGACATTTACACGGATAAAACTACCAACTACATTTCTCAGGCCTAAAACTGTTTGCTACGCTTAAGTTTCTTTGTTTTTCTAAACCCTTTTGTTATGTCTTCTCCCCCAAAACACATTTCCCTCCCTTGAGTCTAGTTCTATCATCTCTACTCTATACAAAAATACTGTTCAAGCCCCATAAACCATCTAAAAAGCAATGGCGAACTGTATAAATTCTTGCAAAACCACGCTAGACAATTGTAAAACTTCCCTGTTCCTGCTGTATATAAGTCAATCACCTCCTGCCAAAACGGGCACGAACCCTCTGCTGAATGGGTGTTCTGCAAGCAGGGCAATCCACCATTCCATGATTCTCATGGAGATCACTGCATTTCAGACACAGAACCTGATGCGCACATGGGAGGAAAACTACCGACATTTCCTCTGATAAGCACATCACGCATTCCCTCTCCCGCCTAAGCCCACCAACATTTCCTTTCTCGTCTGAGCTCCCATCCTTGTTCGCCTCTGCCCCCCTTCTAAGAGATTCAATTCTCGAAGCATCGTTTTTTAGCTGCAATTCAGATATTTCTTTCTCGAGCTCCTTGATGTCTGCTATGTACTTGTTCAGCCGGCGTTCTGCTTTCTGTTTAATCATATCCTGCTCTGCTTGCCCTGCATCTTCGAGACGCTGTAGTTCCATTCGCATGGAAGCAACATGTGCGAGTATCTTCTCTTTCTCTGTTCTCTCTTGCTTCCATTTCTTCTGCAAGGATCATTACAACTTTCAGACTAGGGGATGCGAAAATCTTAGCATCTATGTAGAGGTGAACTCATGGAAGCATGTAACAGAAATTATATATTTCCTGCAAGTGATAGGGATCCTAAGAGCCCTGTTAATCCAACGGTACAGGACCAAAAGCAAATTGGAAACATCAAAGAGGCAACAAACTAAGTTCTAGAAGGAGTGGAAAACAAAAGAGGACGATTACTGTAGGCGGAACTGGCGCTGCCAAGACATTTTGCCGTCTGCCAATGGCGAATGAAGATACATACATAGGTAGAGTGAAGAGAGTGTAGATAGAGAGAGATGCATCTGATGATATGTCTATAGATTCCCTTCAATGAATTATACGAGTGGGCAGAGCAGGGCCACTTGCCATCTGCCAATGGCGAATGGTCGTTTTTTCTGTTGTGACATACCTCTCTCCAAAACCCAATATCTTTCTTTCTTTCTTCAACTAATTATAACATCCATCCACATATGACATATATACTATCATACGATCCTAAGGCCAGATATATAATTGGTTGGGGGCACCAAACAACGGAAAGGAGATAGCTAGGATCCCATATTGACATAAATATATGACCAATATGTATTGTAGCTAGCTAGTCTCCCTGTACGCAACAAGACAGCAGCTCCCATTATTCAAACATGCATTGCCCATTTCGCCTATCTATCTAATTCTAATATAAGATCGATTTCATTATATTCAGCAGTTAGCTAGCTTGCTTTCCCAGTTCCATAAATTTGTAACAGTAAAAGGGTAGAAAACAGGTGAAAAGGTACTGTTTAAGTGATCGACCCAAATAAAATTTGGGGTTAAAATCTTTCTTCTCTTTGCCTTTTCTATACAACATATCAGAGGGTAAGTTCAAAAAACCAAACCATTTTCTCTTTTCAAATAAAATATTGCTTCAAGAATTTCCAGCTCAACTTTCACTCTCTTACTTTTTTCTTTCAGAACAACATTTTCACCTTACCATTAACACCCTCCTCTTCCAAGGGATAGGGGTGAAATCTAAACAAGATCATGCAAAAATTGAAATTCAGGTGAAAAGGGGTCAGCTAAATTTACTTTTCATGTTCCTGGAAAACATTACCTCAATTTGGTTCTGGACATTCTTTGCCTTGTCTACCAACGTTTGTACTTCAGCCACCTTCTGCTTGTGGGTTTGAAGTTCCTCTTGCAAGAAAATTCTCTCCCTCTCCCAACATTGACTATCCTTCATGGCTTTCTGTTCTCTCTCAAAAGCGTTCTGACACCTAGCAGCTGACTCAGAAGCCTGAAGTTTAGCAGCCTCCATGTATTTCTTCAAAAGCTTTCGCTGTGCTTCAAGACCATTAATAGCAGCATTAGCCTTCTCAATCTGATCAGTAGAATTAACTACAGCCAAATCCATCTCTGCCACCCTTTTCAGAGCATTCTCCTCGAGTACCTTGCTGTCTTTGGCGAGCTGTTCTGACTCTTCTTTCTCCTGTCTTAGTACTCTCAGATCGTGCATATCCTTGCTAAGACGTTGAGCTGCCTGTAAAACCTTTTCATTAGCCCATTCAATCCAACTCTTAACCTCATTCTGCAAGCCTTCTAGTCTTTTCACTAATTTTAGGGTCAACTCATCTTTCTTATCACGTGGGATGTACTTCCCCAGGGACTTATCGAAAGGAATTCCAGTACAATACTCAGCTGGTAGTTTCTTAGGTGTAATTGGAGCAACCCTTTCTGCAGAAGCAGCAGATTTGGTGCCATTTTGTTCAGCTGATGCAGACACTTTTAATTGGTCATCAGTTGAACCTGAATTTGTAGGAGATGGATCACCACCAGCTGCTTGAGGGCCTTCTCCCACAGAATTTGTTTCCGAAGAAGCAACTCCATTCATCGATGATGATGCAGAGGGGGGCTTCATTGTCTTCTCCACAATAATGCCACTAACAGCGGTTATGCTTCCTGACCTCAAAGAGAGCTTACCAGAATTCTTGAGAGCTCTGTCCATGCTACGTAAGGACTTCTGACAAGCAACAAGTTCCTTCTTGCTAAGAACCTTTCGGCTAGTCCGTACTTTTCCTTGAGGGAGATGGACTTGGGAGGTGGTAGTTTGGACGGCTGCTCCTAGGGTGCCAACCAAGGACTGGTGAAAGCTTCCTTGAGTTTGCTGGCCTTTAGGGGCAAGAGTTGTGCTTCTGGAGCTATTTTCCAAACTTGGGAAGCTTCCAAATGCAAGTGCCTCAGCTATAACATCACATGGCAATGGTTTTTTCATATTTCCTTGTTCCTTCGCTCTAGAAGGTTTAGTATTGCTGCTTTCAACCGCTGGTTTTGGTTGGGTGGCAGCAGTAGATCCAGAGGAAGCATCGTCTGCTACTATGTCATTCTTGGAGCCCAATCCAATCAAAGGATCAGCTGTGCATGCCTGTGCAATGTCCATATCACAGAGTAACAACAGCCACATTGCTTCAGAAGTGGAAAGCCATGGTTTGACCTCCATAAGCACATTCATCATCTCTACAAGTGTGTACTTCACTAACTGTTGCAATTCCTCAAACACAAAATCCCTTGAACAATCAAATTTCCTCTCTCTCTTTAAAAGGCTGAGAGTATCACTCACAGTCTTTGAGACAAGGTCATCTTCACCTTGTTGATAGAGACCATACCTTGAAACTGTCAGTCGAGCGATATTTTGGTTATACCCATCATCAACAACCTGCTTGATTGCACACTGAAAGACCATTTGGAGGTTAGAGGACAACAACGGCTCGAGTTGGGCTGCAATAGGCTCAACCCAGTCACCATCTATGGTCTCCTCCGCTGCAAGTTTAGATTGACTGAACCCTACATTACTTACAGGGTCTGAAACATTCTCAGAAGAGGTCCCATTGGAAGGGCACTTTGTAGGTGTTGAAGCAGGAGTACTAGCAATGGTTTCTGCAGGATCAACTATTTTCCTCTTGTTCTTACTCCCTTTAGCTTTTGGTGAGACAAACGAAGACACTAGGTTGGCACTCCAAGTTTTATTGGCAGCCATTTTCCACCCCCTTCTACCAACAACGAGATGAATGCCCCTCCAAACGCCAAAGAGCTTATAGCAGCAACCTCTACAAAGCCAAACAAACTAAATGTCAAAGGCCAAATTGAGAGAAATTAAAGAGGGGACCAAAAATTGGTCAAGCGATCATGAAGAACGAGCCAAGGAAATACAGTAATTCAACTACCACCATGGCTCCATCTATAATCTCGACAGAAAGAACCCACGGGGAAAAGATGAACACAATAGAGAGCCAAGCAAAGCACATTTTTCACAACCCAAGCTAGCTAAACCCGAAAACCCAACTGCCTACCACACAAAACTCCTCTCGCTCGCTCGTTTCAAGCCCAGAAAAAAAAAACCCATTTCGACAAACAAAATGATCGCCGAAACAAAACCGTAGAATCAGGAGTGGCAGCAAGCGAGAATCAATAAGGGGGAAAAAGTGAGAACTCCCTCAAGGGAAGAAGAGCGGCGCAGGGATTTCATTTACCTGAAATGGAAGACGATGGCGTCCAGCCCCGGAGCGAGAGAGTTAGAGAAGAAAACCAAGCCCGGGGAAAAGTCACATTGCCGGCGGAATATGGAGGCAGCTATCGTCGTTTGAGGGTTTTTGTTTTTGTTTTTTTGGGTTGCTTGGCTGCACCGCCGCGGACGCAGTGGGGAGTGGAGGGAGTGGCAGATGGAGGAGACGGTAGGAGTGGCGTGGCTGCAGGTGGGGTTTATATTAAGTGGGTTTAAGCCTTTAACGCCAACCACACACACGACCATTTGGCCGTTTGGGTAGTGTGTTGTTGTTTGGCTTCTAAGAATAAAAAACAAATATTTGACTAACTCCTCATTATGGCTACCAATTTCCAATCCTCGATGGTGATTCTCGTATGAGCTACGAGGTAAATTGATTGGATTTATGAATTGGTGTATTGAATTATAGATCTAAATAATATCTTAACATTGGACTATTATGTCAAATTTGAAAAGTTTAAGAACTAAAATATCTTAGTAAATAATTTGAGTACCAAAGTGTAAATTTTTCAATCATATTTTTCGTGGGAAAAAAAAATGTTAGATACCAAATTGTAAAATATAGGTACTAAACTATAATTTGGCGACAATCCATGAATCCACCGATCTAAACGGAATGGATTGGATTGCATTAGTAGTTTGGATACAAAATTGCCACTTCCTAGTAACTGTCGATTGCCCCCTTCTGAACTACCGCTGATGAATAGGGTTAAGAACAATGTCTCACGCTCTTCCATTTTATTGCGTTAATTTACATGCTACTGAGTACTGAAAAGGGGTATATTGAGAGAGAGAGAGAGAGAGAGAGTAATGACTCCATAATGAAAAACAGTGGTAATATGGTTAGACTTAACATTGATTTGCACCACGCTTTTGCAATTTGGGTGAGCTGAACTCATTCTATTTCGTTTAAACCATATTTATGTATGAGAGAAGTATTTTTTTCTGGCAATAAAACTTTTGTATTGATATGAAAGGTAATGAATGCAACTTTGACTTCTTGGATAACGATTAATAATACAGATCACACATCTTCGAACAATGTTCAAACAATGGTGTTTGATGTTTTTTTATGATATTTTGAGGGTAAGTTAAGTTAAGTCACTCCTACTCCTATGGACGTTTAGTGTGAGCTCCAAACTAAAACTACGATTATGGCTACATTGTAGAGAAAGGTAAAAGGGTAAACTTGGCATTTGTGTAAGAGTGTTGGTTTGTGAACCACTTTCCAGTCTTCGTTTCTCCTATTTTATAGCCGTCATGTGTAGCCGCTCCACCAATCGTCGTACTACTTGATATAGCTTGCTTGATGCCCTAACTCCACTTGCTTCCATATAGGCCACTTGATCCCTTGACGGCTTGAAGACTTCACAAAGTGCTTGATGGGCAGTCTTTGCGCCATAAAGGTGTCTTGCTTGATGGCTTGTCCTAATACCATGGTTCAGGAAACCGTACCGGACATCATATCGAATTTCTCTCTGGTATGATATTTTGTGGTACGACCGTGGTTCAATCGTTTTGTACCGGTGAATACCGTTTTTGTAATAATAAAATATTTTTTTGTCAAAAAACCGTATCGACCAAAACATAGTACCGTCTCGGAGTAATACCGAAATAAAATCAAAATATACAAAATAACGAATAGAAAATCATAAAATATCAACATATAATTTTACTAAATTACACCAAACAAAACATTACATAATTTCCCCAAAATAGATTATCCCACTATCCAAACTCACCAAAATCCCAATGCCCCTTCATAAAAAAGAAAAGAAAAGAAATCCCCATCCCCATATTGGCATTGATTTCCCATATTCAGATATTCTACCTCCTCTCTCTCCTTCTTTCTCCCACCGCCGTCACCATCAATCGATTTCCCACACCCATTCTCTCTCCATCTCTCGGCTCCTTCTCCCTGCATGCTCTCACTATCAAAATCAATTTCATATCCCCCTTCATCACCAATTCACCATCCTCTGCCTTGCAAACAAATGGAGCGCCAAATCAATAATAAGAATGGAGGCTCTCAAGAGTGACTGTGCGGGAAGGGAGCGCCAGAGGCCGGAGAGGAAGGGTATAGCTCGGGCCTCGTGATCGATCTCACAAATCTTACTGAATCCTGCCTTTTTCCTTCGCCGTTGCAGGGGAGTTAGCCGGATTCTTGATCGATCTCACAGATCTGGTCGATCTCGAGTAGGGGAGGAGACTCGGCAGGGGAAGGAAACTCGAGCAGGGTACGGAACTCGACGCGGCGGCGTTCTTGAGAAGTCAAGCTCGTCGCTAGAGGCAGGGGTCAACTAGAGAATAAAAGAAGAGCGGGGAGGCGGGACGTGAAACTGGAGAAGAACCGGCCGCTTCGATAGTTCGATTAGGGATTAGGATTTGGCAGTGGGTTTTTATTTTTTTTATTTTCTTCATTTTTGTTTCAAAAACAGCAGTGTTTCATTGTGAATAGCCTACCGCCGGTTGGAACAAAACCGAGCGGTATTTCGTTTCAGGCCAGTTAAACCCAAAAAACTGGCCGATACGATAATTCTACCACTAAATGAGTGTCGTTCTATTTTTGGTCCAATTCTCGGTTGAACCGGCCGGTACGATCCGGTTTCCTGGTCCTTGCCTAATACCCTACTAGGTGTGCAGTTGTCTTACGGGCTTGATGCGATGTGACGTGATGGCTACATAGTTAGGTGTCTCTTGATTGACACCTAAATAGTATGTCATCCTTGACAGGTGGGGGTATCACTAGGGATGGTAATAAGTCGAGTCAAGGGCAGATAGTGCATATTAGTTACCCTGCCCAAAGTAATTCGGATTTTTACCCATATCCATACCCACATAAGAATCAATTAGAAAATCAAACCATGCCAATACCCATTCGTGTTTCGGGTATCCACGGGTATCCATGGATAATAATATTTCTTTCTAACTCCAACCAACATGGTAACATTCACATGTATACTCACATTACATAAATAGAAAAAGTATGACAATAAATGACTATAATGAAGAAAATTAATTGAAAACAACACGATAACATGAAAATATTATATTTGTATATTAAATATCAAATATGTTGAGAAAAATAATAATAATTTCTAGACAAAATATATATGTATGTGTAAAATCGGTCGGATTCGGGTTGGATAGTGCAAAAACATTGCCCACCCATTACCCACAATGCTCGGGTTCGGATTATACTCATACCCACTGAAAATCCTTTGTATTTGGATTTAACCCTACCGGATTAGGTCGGATTTTGGCGAATATTCATGAACTTGGATATTTTTGCTATCCCTAGGTATCACGCTTAGGGGGTCTTCATGACGATTATAACCACCATCTCATGACAGTGGTGCCCACATTGGTGTCAAGTACCTTGATGTTCAATGCTTTAATGATATCTAGGGTTGTTAAACGATTATCTTGTTAGAGGTGTAACTGATAATCAAACTAGTAACCAACAGTTAACATTTACACAGATAACCAATTAAATGGTAAACAGTCGGTTACCAGTAGAAAAATTTAGTTAATTAATAATTAATGATTAAAAGGTTAGTAACTAACGGTTAAAGGTTAACCGAATAACTGATGATGATCATCCTCATAGTTAGGACCGAAACTAATAAGCATTGATGAGTCACAGACATAGGCAAAAAATAATGGGATCTTTGGAGGTCTACAAGATCCCTTTCCTACCCTAGCTGTAATTGTGGCTTATGTTAAAATGAGAATAATTTAAGGGAATGACTCTAAGAGGAGCAAAGTAGAAAAAGGGACTTGTGCACAGTAGTTAGACAACAATCAATAATATTTAAGCTTCTATGTAATTTGGTGTAGTTCTTGAATTGAGTAATTGTTGTTGGGTCTCTTATTATTGTCTGATTCTTTAATCAAATTATATGATATAATGGTATTATTGTGTACTTGTGTTGGATTGAATTGATTATATATTGATATCTATATTAATTTTTTTTATTCAATGGATAAAAACTAAAACAACACATAAGTATGTAGGAAAAAATCTACCAAAATGCAAAATAGAAAAAGGAGGAGTTCTTTTGTTAGTTAGATTATTGATAGGTTATTTTTGTCTAACCTTGCCAAATCACTTTCTTAACGATTAATTAAAAAATGCGATAACCGACTATATTGTTACGATTAACTGACTAAGATAAATTGTGTTGTTAATGGCAAACACAAATTGCTTAATGCTTAACTAATAATAGACTAAACGACTATAGTCATAACTAAACTGACTAACAACCCTAATAATATTCATGTTGACCCTTTTGTATCATATCATGATTGACACTTAGGTGGTCTACCATGTGAGCGTGTGCATGCCTGACACTTAGAGTTTGGATGACCTTGTTAGATAGGTGCCAAGTTGATACCCATGAGGCATATCATGCTTGACGACTTGGGGTGAGGGTGCACATGTCTACCCATCTTGGATGATTTCATGCTTGACACCTAGCACTTGGGGGTAGAGTGGCGTCATGATTTGAGGGACAGGGACTTGACAAGGGATGTCCACGCAGTCCCCCCTGGATGATGTCATGCATAACAACTAGGTACTTGGGGGTCAAAATTGAGGGGGTTGATGGATGCGCATTGACCCCTTAGGATGACATCATGCTCGTAAGGTCTTGACAAGGGATAGCCACCCTGAGCCCCCTTGGATGATGTCATACTTGACACCTAAGTGCTTGTTGGATGTGCACCAACCCCCTAGAGTGATGTAATGCTTGACACCTAGGTACTTTGGAGGGGGCGAAGTCGAGGGTGTTTATGGATGTGCACTGACCCCATTAGGGTGACGTCATGCTTGAGATTGCTATGAAAGAGTGTACACTAAAGTACTAAGGTACCTCGCATTATAGCATAAGTAGCCCAAAATTCCATCATTTAGACCCAACTTAGACCAATTTAAATAATATGGTTAAGCTGGCTTTATAAACCACAACCACTTCTTGAATTTAATCAATGTTGTATTAAGTTACTTTAGTTGTTAACAAAGTGATTTGAAATTTTTGATGAAATGAGAAAATAAAATGAACTCACAAGTCACAATAGGGTTTCTGACGTGGTTCTTGTTAATTAGGGTGATTGACCTTACTCCAATGATTCACTATAGAACAAGAGTTAAATTTACCTGATAGGTAACCATGATCGTATTTCCTTCGAGCCTTTCGCGTCCCCCTACTCATTCAGCAAGGGACCTATTCTTGGTTTTAAAATAATTGTGGAGGT